GGGAGGATTGCTTGAGGCCAGGAGTTCGAGACCAGCCTGGGCAACATAGCTAGACCTTGTCACTACAAAAAAAAAAAGTAAAGAAAAGAAAAAGGAAAAAAATAGCCTAGCTGGGGGGTATGGTGGTGTATACCTATAGTCCTAGCTACTCGGGAGGCTGAGTGAGGCAGGAGGATCCCTTTGGCTCAGAAGTTCGAGGTTACAATGAGCTATGACCGTGCCGCTGCATTCACGCACTGGCAACAAAGTGAGACTCAGCAGTCTGTCAGGGAGTGAAATGTGTCTCCCCCCGACCCCCAAATTCATGTGTTGAAGTCCTAAACCCCAGCACCTTACATGTCACTGTATTTGGAGATAGGGCCTTTAAAGAGGTAATTAAGATTAAATGAGGTCATAAGGGTGGGACTCTGATCTAATAGGACTGGTGTCCTTGTAAAAAGAGGAAGACACACCAGGGACGTGCACGCACAGAGGAAAGACCATGTGGGGACACAGAGAGAAGGCAGCCATCTGCCAGCCGAGGAGAGAAGCCTCAGGAGAAACCAGACCTGATGACACCTTGATACCAGACTTCCCACCTCCAGGACTGCGAGAAAATAAATTTCTGTCGTTTAAGCCACTCAGTCTGCGGTATTTTGTTATGGCAGCTCTAGCAGACTATTGGCTAGGGTTGTAGCTAACTATGGGGGTTTGGGAGATTTCTAGGTGGTAGCTAACTCCTTACAGCCAACAGCTCCAGTGGCAGCCTCCAAAATCCTGCATTGGTATGTGTGCTACTCGGATTGTAGGTGTGAGCCACCACGCCTGGCCTATTATTTTTTTTTGGTGGGGGGGTGGTTTATTGTAGTCATCAAATGGGTGTGAGGTGGTATCTCATAGTGGTTTTGATTTATGCTTGCCTAATGATTAGTGATGTTGAACATCATGTGTTTATTGGCCATTTGTATATCTTTATTTTTATTTTTTTGAGACAGAATATCATTCTGTCGCCCTAGCTAGAGTGCAGTGGCGTGCATAGCTCACTGCAACCTCAAACGCCTGGGTTCCAGTGATCCTCCTGCCTCAGCCTCCCAAGTAGGCGGGACTACAGCCATGCAGCACCATGCCTGGCTAATTTTTCTTTTTGTGGCGATGGGGTCTCACTCTTGCTCAGGCTGGTCTTGAACTGACCTCCAGTAAACCTCTCGCCTTGGCCTCCCAGAGTGCAGGATTATACGCGTGAGCCACCGCGGCCAGCCTGTGTATCTTCTTTAGAGAAATGTCTATTCCCATCCTTCACCCATTTTTTAATCAGGTTATTTTTCTGTTGTTGTCATTGCTGTTTTTAAGGCATGTGTCTAATGACAGATTTGATTTTGCTGAGGGCTGACGAGGAATCTCCTGGAGGGAAAGATGGTAAGTAGAAAACACCACAAAGAGCATCGAGTCTCTGAATTCAAAGTGGGCCCACCGCAGGGCACAGGTAGGTTTTTGGCTGTTATCTGTTAGCACTCTTTGCTCTTACCTGCTCAAGGATGACTCCTATACAATCACTTCTTTCTCCTCTACCCTTTCCAGCTCCCCCAAAGCAGCAAGACGAGATGGGGACGCTCGCTTTATGGAGACACGCAGGGCATAGGGAAGTGAACAGCCTCTATGCAAAGGGGGCTGCGGGGAAATGCTGCCTGCTGGGAAGGTAGGAGGAGAGTTCTGTGCGGAGAGGAGGTGCGGGTGCCCCCTTGGAGCACGTTTCCAGACAGCTGGAGGAGAGGATTGGTACAAAGCAGAGTATTCAGAGCACCCTCGGGATGAGGGATAGGCAAGGAGAGAGATAGCCCGAGGAAGGGGGACAGTCCAAGCCTGAACTGAAGCATGATTTCAAAAATGCAAAGGCCAACAAAGGGGCTTTCAATTTTTGTTCGGAGCATGAAGAACAACAGAAAGATTTCTACTAGGGAACAGGTGGATATGTTGAAATATGACTGTGGCCACAGCTAGAGGGTGCCCTGGCAAGTTAATAATCTGAGACTTTAAAAAAAGCTACAGTTTACACACTGGGGCAAGGGCGACAAATACGTACCATGTGCTTTGCCAAACCAGCTCAGTCGTGATAGTAGACTTTCAAGAAAAGGCAACTCCTTGACCATGCCTTACTATACAAGCATGTCCCTGAGGAGGTCTCGTCTCTCTTCCCCAACTCCCAGCCCCTTGTCAAAGCGTTCCTTCCAACCACATGCTGGGACTTTTTCTAAGAGGAATTCTGGCGGCATGCAATTTTGTCTGTCTCCTCACATCTCCATGATGTCTCGGCCCATCCTGGCACCTGGAACCCTCTGAGCCTGGACACCTGCCCAGCTGGTCCATCTCTAAGCCTGTGGTTTTTGCACCAAAGGCAAGAAAATTCTCAACTAAATTTTTATTTTCAGTTTTTTCTCTCAATGATTGCCAGGCTTCAGGGATAGAATATAACCATAGTTAAGAGGAAATAAAAAGCTATCAGCTTTAGAAACTATTTATACATATGCTTTGAAGGAATTTACCAAAGGGATAATGACGGATGTGCAGATTTCATTACAAAGACATTCATGGCAATGTTATGATATCAAAAAATTAGAAAAA